CCCCCCCCCCCCGCGTGGCCGCGCACATGCCGCCGGTCATGATTTGCACCCCCCCCCTCTTGGACACCCCCCTCTTGGCCGCTCCCGAGGCCTCCGGGGAGGCGCCTCCCTGGTCTCCTTCCCGAGGGGCTCCCAGAGCGAGCGGCCAAGAAAAAAGGCGAGGGCTCCTCGGAGGCCAGAAATAAGGGGAGGGCTCCTCGGAGGCCAAGAATAGGGGGGGTGCTGCCAGAGCGAGCAGCCAAGAGAAAAAGGGGGAGGGCTCCTCGGAGGCCCACCTGCTGGATCTGTTCGGCTCGACGCCGAGTTTCATAGTGAGCGTCGGGGGGGGCGCCACCCCCGCCGACAGACCCACATCGACCCTCGTCGCGGGCAGCCGCCGCGCGCCGAAGGCGCTCCGACCCCCATTGCGGCGCGACGACAAGGCGAGGTTGACCCCCGTCGGTGGGGTATCCCCCCACGCTACTTAAGAAACCCAGAGTGCAGTCAACCCGCATGGTAAGGATGGGCAACCTTCCCAAGGGGTTACCCCTGCATCCTTGCCACCTCGGTCCATCCGTGGCCACTCTCGCTGGCCGCGCTCCGCTCGAAGAGCCACGAAGTAGCCTTCCAAGGCCTTTGCACCCTCATCGCGCACCCCTCTGATACGGGCCGGCTCTACTTCGAGTCTCGCTCAACTCCAGCTCGACTCAATTTCGACTCGGCTTCGACTTCAGATCGGCTCAAGCCCACGGACGTTCGACGCAGCATCGGCGCACGAATTTAGCGAGTGGCTCCCGGAAGGTCCCCGGAGCGGACTTTTAAGCAGGGGGGGCGGGCTCCTCAAAGGCCCTCGCGGCTGGTGGTCGTAGGCCTCTGGAGCTCGTCTCGGGGAGCCTCCGCGGATCATTGAGCATAACACAGCTCCCAGGCCCTAATAACACAAGGAGCTCGTGGCCTAACATAGGTCCACGCTCTTTAGGAATATCCCTAAACACATCTGGGCGGTTTCGTCTTCTAGTCGTCATGTTCTCATTCATTCGTTACCGATCGGCGCGGGAACTCGTCCCCCCCCATGTCGTAGATCTTGGCTGGTGTTGGCGCCTGTTTCAAGCGGGTGGAGTCTCCTCCATAGGACGGACTGTTGCAAACAGTCGCGGTAAGCAGAGTTTCCCAGCCAGACCCCGCCCCTTCCGCCCCATGCCGAAACGCCGAATAAGGACACGTTAACCTGGCACATCTGCAAAAAAAGACCCCCTTTCGATCTTTAGTCCCGAAGGGGTACTTATATTGCTTATCATGGGGCCCTGACCCCTCCGCATCGTGGAAAAATCACGACGTGCGGTCTCGGCTGTTTTCCCTGCTTCAGGGGGCCCTCGCCGGGCTGCATGGCTGTAAACAATGGCTCAGGACGAAGGGCCGGCCCCGGGAAGGGCTCCAGACCTCTGGGAAGCTACCCCGTGGCAAGATCATGGGGTCGGAGGTCTGAGTTCTCGGATGCCTCCGTAGGCCTGGGGCCCGGGGTTGATCGTCGGAGGTTGCTGGAGGCTCTTGCAGGTCTAGCGAGGCGTCTTGAGGTCTCCAGAGGGGGAAGAAAAGGCTAGATGACGATGATGACGATGATGATGATGATGATGATGATGATGATGATGATGATGATGATGATGATGATGATGATGATGATGATGACGATGACGATGAGGAGGAGGAGGGGGGATGGGGGGGGGGAAGACAACGAGAAGGAGGTGGGGGAGACGGAGGGAATGTGGAGGAAGAGAACGAGGTGGATTGAGGAGGAGGAGGAGGAGACGGATGAGGAGGGGGAGGGGAAGGAGGGGGAGGAGGAGGACGAGTGTGGGGAGGTGGATTGATGAGGACGAGAAGAAGGACGACAAGGTTATACAATCTGATTGCTGTTGTCTAGTGGCTGGTGCCCACGCCCCCTGGCTGGGGCTCCCTGTTCGTCATTGTCAGGGGTGCTGATAAACAGGTTGCCAGGCACGTTTGTTGTTCTACTTTTCACGCCCCCGACGCCCTTCCAGGGGCATGCGGGGGGGAGGGGGAGCGCGCCCGCGTCGAAACTTCGAGGGTGGCCAAGAGTGGGATGATGACTCGGGCAGGACGGATATACAACGCGGCTGGGGCCATGCCATCTCTGGGGATTCCATAGCTCTCTCTTCTTGTCAGAAAGCGCGTCCCCTGATCTTCTCGGTATCACGCAGCCGAGACAGGACGCCAGAGGCAGGGGGGCATGACGCAAACGTAGCGTAGCAGAGGGCCAATCTGGTACAAAGCAAGGCCGCTGGAGCCCAAACATCCACACCGTTCTGATAGTGCCAAAGGACGCCCCAGACAGCCTTGAGAGAAGCTCACACGGGCATTAAGATACGAAGCTGTCCCCAACCTGATGTGGCATGTCGGCCTCACGTCGTGCGACCACTTTCGAAACACGTGCCTCAGCTTGCCGAGGGCTATGCGCGCGAGCACGATGTTTTGTAAGGGTGAGCAATGCGGCCGTTACCATCCGTGGCCATTGTAGGTCAAGTTGGATCGGTTGCCCTCACAACTCCAGCACGCCCGCATGTTACATGATGTCGTTTGAGGTTCTGCGGCTGTGATCATCAAGCATGGACGGTGAGGTGCAGAAGAGGCGTCGGGTGCATTTTGAAGATGAAGACCCTTTCGCCGGCGATGAGGAAGATCAGGTCAATCATTGGGTCAGGGAGTCGACACCTCACGTATGCCACTCAGTCCTGGATCCACCAGATCCTGACTGGGCTTCCTATTGGAGACCTGGCCCTTTCCCTCCACAGGGCCCAGGGTCAAACGATCCCGCCGCTGACGAGAGGCGTGGGCCAGCATCCTCACGCAAGTGTTCACTCCTTGGATGTGCATTGTTGTTTCTCTTTCTTTTGCTTGGACTGGCTTCGCTTCGTAGCATATCCATCAGGGTACCTTCACTTTTGACATGTTTTTCAGTTGCCTTGGCAGTCGTCATGTGCCTGGCGACTCTATATGCAATGAATTCATGTGCCGGAACGCGCACAATTGAGCAGCCGACGTTCCACAAGCGCATCGAGCTGTCAGCAGAAGCCTCAGAAGCCTTGGATGCTATGTTCATGGAGCTAAGCACAAGTGGCAGCGAGATCAGTATGACGGACGCGGTGATATTTTTCATGAGGTGCCATTCGGGGTCCATCAATGCAAAAGCTATGTTCTCCGAGGTGGACCGAGACCAGAATGGTGTTATTACCAGGGAGATGTGGTTCAAGTTCTGGAGGAGGGTGTGTCAAGCCGGCTACTCGAACGATGACGTTCTAGAGGAAGTTGCAGGGATGAAGGCCGGACAACCATGGGACGATTGGCTCGACGCCCGGACAAGTTCGTCGCAGTCGGCACCTTGGTACATGAAGGTTTCCTAATTGCCCAGGGGAAACTGATGCTTCAAGTTTGTGACTCTCTGCAAAAAGGCGCGCTCTGGTCCCGTAAGGCATCCACTGGTAGGCGCATAACGCTGCAAGCAAAGCTTGTGTGAAGGCCTGACGGCCGGTGCCGCCGACTCCTATTTGCTAGTTGGAGAGGCAGATGGAACAGGTTGGCGAGGAGGAAGATGAGAAACACATAGATCAATGGCGATATCGATCAGTAGTCAGTGATCTAGACAGACAGACCCAAAGGGGCTGTGCGCTACATGGAGACGGCTGTTTCGATGGCCTCTCCGTCGTGATTTCCCCCACCCCAGCTTTCTTATCGGGCTTCGGTCGGCATTCCAGTATTATGCATATCTACGCATGTTACCCGTTCTTTGCGCTGCAAGAGGAGGAGACGGAGAAGGTCCTTCGCAGCTTTTTTTGTTCACGACGCCCAGATGTCCGTGCCTCGTGCTTATAATCGACCCCCTCTTTTCTTCCCGGGCACGGTCCTGCCAGGATCTCGAGGCTCTTGCCGTCCTTCCGCGTTCCTATATTTTTTCTTCTCCTCTCCCTTCCCCTCTTCGCCTCCTGATCTTCCTCTTGCTTCGCCTCCTCCTTCTCCTCCGCTTTCCCCTCCGTGTCGTCTCCTCACAGAATGACGACTGAAGCATGCCTACTTCGGCCCTCAGGCCTCTACGCGGGTCCAGCCACGGCACACTTTACGACAGTCCCGATGTTCCGAAAACGGTGGGGAGACTCGGAAACACACAGGGATAACAGTTTCGTGAGGGGCATGGTGGAGCGGATTCGGAGCATAATTGAAATCCGCCAATGCGGCGGCGCCAGGTACGTCTTGAAATGGGTGCTCCGGGAAGTTACGAAGTTCAGCCGAAGTGTTAGGAATAGCTGTCAATGGGCGCTGGTGAAGGTTTGCGGGGTTGCGGTCGGGAGTCTCGAGTTCCAGGCCGAAAGGAAGGTGTTCCCCCAGTGATAACGACGAAGACGAGGACGAAGACGATGATTACTACTACCACTACTACTTCTACGACTACTGCTACTACTACTACTACTACTACTACTACCACGACGACTACTACTACTACTACTACTACTACTACTATGACTACTACTAGTACTGCTTTGGCGACAACTACTACTACTACTACTACTACTACTACTACTACTACTACTACTCAACCTACTACTGCTACTACTACCCGCTACGACTACGACTACGACTACTACGACTACGACTACTACTACGCCTACTACGACGATTGCTACTATTACTTATACGACTACTTGTTCTACTACCACGACTTTATTACTACTACCGTGACTACTACTGCTACTAGTACTACTGCGTCTACTACTATTACTACTACTACGACTACTACTACTACTACTACGACTACTACTACTAGTACGAGCACTACTACTACTACTACTACCACTACTACTACTACTACTGCTACTACTACTACTACTCCTACTACTACTACTACTACTGCTACTGCTACTAGTACTATTACTATTTCTAGTACTACTACTTCTACGACAACGATTACTGCTACTACCACTCCCACGATGACTACTATTTCTATTATTCAGATTTGTTTTGCGACTACTACTACGACTACTACGACTTCGGCTGCTACTACTACTTTTACTACTTTTACAACTACCACTACTACTACGACTACTACTACGACTGCTACGACGACGACGACTACTAGTACTACTACTACTATGGCTATTCGTGCTACTACCAGTACTACTTCTACTACGACGACGAGGACTACTATCACTATTACTTTTATTACTACTACGGCGACGACGACTACTACTATTACTACTACTACTACTTCTAGTATGTCGACGACTACTTCTGCTACCTCTGGGACGACTACTACTACTACTACTACTACTACTACTACTACTACAAATACTACTACTACTACTACTACTACTACTAGTACTACTACTATTACTGCTACTACTACTACTAATAATAATAATGATAATATTATAACTAGAACTACTACAACTACTACTACTACTCCTTCCAATACTACTACTACTACTACTACTACTACTACTACTACTACTACTACTACTACTACTACTACTACTACTTACTACTTCTCCTACTACTCCTACTCCTACTACCACCACTACTACTGCTACTACTACTACTACTACTACTACGACTACTGCTATTACTACTAGTACTACTACCACTACTACTACTACTACTACTACTGCTACTACTATCACTACTGCTATTACGACCATTACTACCACTACCACTACTACCTCTATTACTACTACTACTACTACTACTACTACTGCTACTACTAGTACTACTATGACTACTACTAGTAATGCTTGGGCGACGACTACTACTACTACTAGACCTACTACTGCTACTACTACCCGCTGCGACTACGACTACGACTACAACGACTACGGCTACTACTACGCCTGCTACGACGACTGCTATTATTACTTATACGACTTCTTGTTCTGTTACCACGACTTTATTACTACTACTGTGACTACGGCTGCTACTAGTACGACTGCGTCTACTACTATTACTACTACTACTACTACTTCTACTACTACTACTACTACTACTACTAGTACTAGCACTACTACTACTACTATTACTACTGCTACTAATACTATTACTATTACTAGTACTACTACTTCTACGACAACTATTACTGCTAAGACCACTCCTGCGATGACTACCATTACTATTATACAGGTTGTTTTTGCGACTACTATTACGACTACTACGACTACGACCATTACTACTACTATTGTTTTTACTACTTTTTCTACTTTTACTACTTTTACTACTACTACTACTACTACTGCTACTACTACTACTACTACGACTACTACCACGATTGCTACGACGACGACGACTACTACTACTACTACGGCTATTCGTGCTACTACCAGTACTACTTCTACTACGACGACGAGGACTACTACCACTATTACTTTTACTACTACTACGACGACGACGACTACTACTACTACTACTACTAGTATGTCGACGACTGCTTCTGCTACCTCTGGGGCTACTTTCTACTACTACTATTACTACCAAAACTACTACTACTACCACTACTACTACTACTTCTACTACTACTACTACTACTACTACGACGTCTACTACTACTAGTACTACTACTACTACTACTACTACTACTACGACTAATACTAATACTATCACAACTACAACTACTACTACTACTACTACTAGCACTCTGTCTACTACTACTACTACTACTACTACTACTACTAGTACTACTACGACTACTACTACTACTACTACTACTACTACTACTACTACTACTACTACTACTACCACTTACTACTTCTCCTACTACTACTACTACTAGTACCACTACTACTGCTACTTCTACTACTACTACTACTACTACTACTACTACTACTACTACTACTATCACTACTGCTCTTACTACCACTACTACCACTACTACCACTACTACCTCTATTGCCACTACTATTACTACTACTAATACTACTACTACTGCTACTACTAGTACTACATCTACTACGACTACTACTACTACTTCTTTTTCTTCTGCTACTACTACTACTACTACTGCTGCTGCTGCTGCTGCTACTACTACTACTACTACTACGACGACTACGACTACTACTACTAGTACTACTACTACTACCACTACTACTACTACTACTACTACTACTACTACTACTACTACTACTACTACCTCTACCTCTACCTCTACTACTACTACTACTACTACTACTACTACTACTACTACTACTACTACTACTACTACTACTACTACTACTACTTTGACGACGACGACGACGACGACGACGACGACGACGACGACGACGGCGACGACGACGACGACGACGACTACTACTACTACTACTACTATTATTATTACTATTACCACTACTACGACTACTACGGCTACGGCGACGGCGCCGACGATGGCGACGACGTCGACGACGACGACGACGCTCGCGAGCCCCTCGGGGGGGCCCTTGTGGGCCCTGTTGGCCTCTCTTGTGGGGCCTTGTAGGTCGTCCAGGTGCATTCTCGGGCCGTTTTGGGGCTTTCTTGGGCGGCCGTCTGGGGCGTTTCTTGGACATTTTCGTTGCGATATGGGGGGCCTGCTTGGGCCGTCTTGGAGCGTCTGAGGCCTTGTGAGGGCCGTCTTGGATCCCTTTTGTGGGCTCTCTTGGAATGCCTGTTGGGCCGTTTTGGGGCCTCCTCGGGTTGTCTTGGTGCTATCTCGGTGCGGTAACGGGACTGTTTGCGGGCAACCTGGGGGCCCTCTTCAGCCCTCCTGGAGCGTGGAATGCTCGAAGGGGGAGAACTCGATTATATTTACATTTATACATATACACAATTGTAACCATATGCGCAGGCATTGAAATGCATACGTACATACATACATTCCTTTTCTATAAGGGGCGTTGACGTTCACTCCTGCATGCTTTATGTTATTACCCATGCTTGCTCAAGTCTTTTACACCTCAAAGAAGGCGGCCCCCGTCTGAGTAAAAGGCGTGGCTCACGCTTCAGCAGTTGGACAAACAACAAAAGGCAACGTCCGCTGTCCGCGCGCGCTGCTGCCAGGTCATCCGTCAACGTCGAGAGACCGCTCCTGTACAAGACCTTCATGAATGCCCCATCTGGGCTAAGAAAATATGGATCATATTCACCTCATGCGCCAGGTGGCAGATAATGTAGGTCACCTGGCCAAGAACAATCTAAATGTGCTGTTTACATGTGTTCCTAATAAAGGGGGCGGCACACAGAGGAAGGGTCCCCATCCGAACGCTCTGGGGTCACTTTTGGGCTTGGGGCCGTCTTGGGACTCTCTTGGGCTCTCTTGGGGCACTCTTTGTGGGTATTTTGGGCCCCCGTGGGGCTGTCTTGAGGCCTCGGAAGGCCGTCGAAAGCAAAGCGGGGAGAAGCCACACGTCATTGTTGTTACCGGGTTTGTAAAGGATTTGGACATCTTGGGGCCCCCCTTGGGAGCTTCGGGGGCATCTTGGAGCCGTATTGGAGCGTTCTTGCGAAGAGGAGGAGGAATAGGAGGAGGAAAGGAGGAAAGGAGGAGGAGGAGGAGGAAGAGGAGGAGGAGGAGGAGGAGGGGGACTTCGACGACGACAACGACGACGAAGAGAAAGAGGAGGAGGGGGAGGACATTGGCGAGTTTGTGGGCCGGGCATCTTGGGGCCGTCTTGGCGCTCTTTGGGCCCTCTTGGGGCGCGGTTGGATGCCTGGAGGCGCTCTGGGGGCCATTTTGGGGGGATCGCTAAACGCAGAGGGAGGTGCCAAACAAGCCCTGCTCATCTAGAGTGCATAAAGACAACTCCTGGACCCCTTTTAGAGCCCTTTTGGGCGCTCTCCGGGCCGTCTTGGGGCTTCTTGGGCCTCTGTTGGGGCTCTTCGGGGCCCTCTTAGAATTATTATGATGCTTCGGAAGGGCATCGACAGCAAAAAACGAGAAGGTACACATCATTGGTTTCCTTGAAGTGTTAGAAGGATTTTGGCTTCGCGGGGGCCCACTCGGGAGTCTCGGAGGGCACCATTTGGAGGCATCTCGGGCTATTTTGAGCCATCTTGGAGGTTATCTCGGGCTCTCGAGCCATGTTGGGCGAGCTGGTGCCCTCTGACGCGTTGCGGGGCGCCCTGTCCAGGTCCAGGGTGAGGGTATGGGGAGGGGTCCAGACGCCCTCCAGGCAGCAAGCCGCCCAGCTCACTCCCGCCGGCCCTCCCGACGCATAAGTGACACCCAAGCCTGAGCATGCTCAGCTGTCCTTTTTGCACGGGCAGCTACTGGGAACCAAAAGCGAGCCCATGTGCATGACGATGGGGCGAGGTGCGCCACGCGTGCCAGGCACGCCAGGTGCGCCAGGTGCGCCACGCGCCTCCGCGTGCGCCAGGTGCGCCGCGTACTCCAGCCGCGCCAGGTGCGCCGCGTTCGGGGCACGTACAGAGTGTGTCAGGTGCGCCTGCGCACGTGACAGCACACATCGGGAAACATGCCAGCCCCCGCCATCCTTGTCGAAAACCAATGCCAATCGTTGTGTCTGGTAAGCATGCGCACAAAAGGCCATACGCCACCACGCCCGCCGTCTCTGTCAAAAACCAGTTGACAGTGATCGCGGGGTGGCCGCGCATGGTCCAGATTTAGCCGCGAGGTGCATTTTGTATTGTGTTTCGTCAGGGGTGGCAGGCGCAGCAGGCGATCCGCTGACACCCTCGCCGCCCCTGTCAAAACAATGCAAAGTGCTCGTGGGCTTCACGGACATGACCCCGGACCTTTTGTGGAAAACTGTATTTCGTAGGTTTTTTTGACAGATGGTGGGGGGGGGGCCGCCTCGGGTTGGTTGCGCATGCTTCAAATCTGGAGGCCGAGTGCGTTTCGTATTGTTTTTTTGAAAGAGATGGTGGGGGGGGGCGCATCGGGTTGCTTCACATTTGGAGGCGGGTTGCGTTTCGTATTGTTTTTTGTTGACAGGGCTGGTGTGTGTGTGAGCATGGTGACCTCATGATTCCTGGTTGGCTTCCGGTTGCTTGGGGGAGAAGGTGTACATTTATAGGGTGCATTGATATACCCCATCCTGAAGGTGGGGTAATGAGGGTTGGAACAGGAACCTCCCCAGACCACCTACGCCCACAGGGCTGGTGGGATTCCAAGGACATTAGTGATGTTGACCCCTTAGGGCTCTTTCGGGGGTGCTCGTGGGGTTGCTTTGTGGCGTCTTGGGTCGCTCTGCGGCTTTCTTGTGGAATTTGGGGCGCCTCTGGGGGTTTGTGCTTGTCTCTCAGGGCAGAGGGTTTCAAATGTCGGTTGGTGTTCCCCCTCTTGCGGCTTCTTGGTGTTATCTTGGGCCGTGTTGGTCGGAGAAGGGGGGCACAACCCCTGGGACCTCCCTCTCCCCCAGGGAAGCGATCAAAAGGAAGGAGCGCCCTTTTCGACTCAATGACGACGTTGTTTGATTTCCGTTTGGATGGATCGCTTGAGGAAGGGGGCCCTGGGAAAGGAGGACAGTAGTGACGACGACGGGGAAGACGAAGACGACGACGACGACGCCGACGACGACGATGCTGACGACAACGACGAACAAGAGCACGACGACCGCGACGACTCCAACGAAAAAGGTCGACAACGACGTTGTTCAATTGCCTTCTGCTTGGATCGCGCGAAGAGGGCCCAGGGAAAAGGAGAGCGGCGACGACGACGACGACGACTCAAACGGAAAAGGGGATTGGCGATGGCGACCGCGATGGCGATGGCTCAGACGGCAAAGGGTCTCACACACGCCGGCAGTGTCGGCGGATTTGCGACACGTCGGATATGCAACACCAGCCAAAGGATGCGGAATGATGTGAATTGTTGTTTTTGCCTGGATCGAAGCGATGAGCAGCGAAGTGGACCAAGCTGGCGTGGCAATTGTCCAACCTTTTTTATACACCTTACGCACAGTGCCCTCTATGGGCTTGCGCGTATAGGTATGAGCGTGTGTGCGCCTGTTTGTGTTCGTGTGAACAGGAGCGTGCACGTGTATGTGCGTGTGTGTGTGTGATCGTGTGTGTCCAGAGTGACGCCGCCTGAGAGCCGGGCCGCGCGCGTTATCCCGCCTCTCGAATTTCTCAGCCTCGTCGCCGCGCGCGGGGCTGGTACCGCCCAAAAGGTGTGTCGTGGGCGTATTTGTGTACTTGTGTGGGCACAGTTCAATCTTGTGAGCTCCTGCAAATTTCTGGTGGCGCTCAGCACAGAAAGCTCACAGCGTGAGTTCATTCTTTTCTGCTGGCCTGAATAGTTTTCTTCGCGGGGAGGAACACGGGGACCATGACCAAGGTGTCGCGGAAGCATTTCGATGCCAATCTTGGTCATGGTCCATGTCGGCCGCCGCCCATCCGCAAGGATGATCCACGGGCTGGCGCTGACCAGGATCGACGGTGACCAAGATTGACACAGCGTTTTCGCGTTCAGTCTTGGTCATGGTCCCCGTATTCTTCCCCTCTTTTTCTTTAGGCCTTGACACACCCTGTCAGCTCAGCCAACGCCTCCGTTTCACGGATTGTCGCCAAAAACGTATGGAGGAACGGCATCGGCGGCGCCGGCGCGGGAAGGCTGTCATTCAGTCGGGGCCAGTGCAAACGGGGGTCAGCCAGAGCGCCGGACCTTGCAGGCGGCGTCGGTGACGTGACCCGCAGAGACTCCTGGGACACCATGACAACTTTGAGTATCGAGAACAGCATGGGCCCATGGATGCTTTATGTCCAGGTCCCCTCTCGTGTCCATCTATTGTGTTCCCCCTCCTGCGCTCCTTTCCGTCCTCCAGCCCCTGCTCATCGATGTGTTCCTGCGCTGGCTGCTCCTGCCCATGCTGCAGGAGGTGATTCATTGTTTTACTGATGCTGCGCAGCCCCTCGTACACTTCCCTTCAGTAATGCCCCCCATGTGACCACTGTCGGCCGCTGCTCCTCCTCCCGGCACGCAGTGCAGGTTGCATTGAATGCACCGCCCGCCCGTCTGGTCCACCGGCTCGTCGTCGTCGTTGCCGTCGCCGTCGCCGTCACCATCGCCGTCGCCGTCGCCGTTGTTGTCGTCGTCGTCGTCGTCGTCGTCGTCGTCGTCGTCGTCGTCGCTCCCGATGCCCCCCTCCCCTCCCCCTCGATTGGGGGGGGCCCCTCCTCCTCTTTCGGGCCCTCTCCTCGTCCTCCCTGGAGGGGGGGGCAGGGCTCCCCCCCAAGGTTCCCGGGCAGGGGTGGGTGGGGAATTCTTAGGGTGCTCCCCTTCCCTTGGTTCCTGGGAGGGGGGGGGCGAGTTGTTCAAGCCAAGCGCCCGTGAAACGCGCTCGCTCGGAGATGAGAATGGGGGCGAGGGGGAGCAGGTGGCTGAGATGGATGATGGTGTGTGTATGTGCAATGCGTAATGTGGAACGTTCGGGTATAGCCAGGACCATTGGTAAGGGGACCCGGTTGGCGGTAGGGCCCTGGGGCCCTTCAATTGGCCAGATTCACTAAACCAGGTTTGCCGTAACTGGTGTTTTTCGGGTGACGGCAGCTCTGGTTAGTGGAAATGGGACGGGGGGGCGCCCCCGGTACAAATCACTAAACCACGTTCCACTAAACCCAGTTCTGCCAACGCCCGAAACGTGTGTGTGTGTGTGTGTGTGTGTGCGTGTATGTTTGCGTGTGTGCGTGTGTGCGTGGTTGCGTGTGTGCGCGTGTGTCTGTTTGTGTGTGTGTGCGTGTGTGCGTGTGTGCGTGTGTGCGTGTGTGCGTGTGTGTGTGTAGGTGTGTGTGTGTGTGTTCCTCCTCACTCCCCCGTGCATTGCGGCTTGATTCGCATTCGTATGCTTTACCAGTGCTCTTCCGCCAGCGCAGTCAGTCTGCCTAGCCGCCGACACAAAAAGTGTAAATGTGGATATGGGGGGAGGGCGGGGAGGGGAGGGGGCAGGAGGGTGTGTAGAAAAGTAAAAAGAAAAAGAGAAGTCGGAGGAGGAACATTAGGAAGATGAGGAGGAGGAGGAGGAGGAAAAGGAGGAGGAGGAGGAAGAGGATGAGGAGAGGGAGGCGGAGGAGGAAGAGGAGGATGAAGAGGAGGAGGAGGAGGAGGGTTCGGAGGAGGAGAATGAGAAGCAGGGGGAGGAGGAGGAGGATTACGCAGGCTGAAAAGAAGAATGACCAGGAGGCTTACGCAGGCTGAGAGGGCAGAGGGAGCAGGAGGATAACAGGGGGCTGGCGGGGGGAGGGAAAGGGAGGGTGAGAGGGGGAGCAGGAAGATGAGGAGTATGAGGCGGAGGAGGAGGATGAGGTGGTTTGTGTGTGTGGGGGGCGAAGAGGCCGGTGATGATGATGGTGATGATGATGTTGCTTATGTTGATGATGTTGATGCTGATGCTGATGATGATGAGGATGAGACGGAGGAGAACGAGGAGGAGGAGGCGAAGAGGGTAACGATGATTAGGCGGCTGGGTTTGAGAGGACATGACCACCTTTGTTCACGTGCTCCCTCTGGCCCTTGTGGCCAGGTTTCCTCCCATCCCTCCTTCCTCCTCCATGCCTCGCTGCCTCCCTCCTCCTCCTCGTCCATTCCTTTCTCTCTTCTCCCCAAGCTCTTCTCTTGACCTCACTTCTTCCCTCTTCTCCTCCCTTCTCCCCCCTCGCCGTCCCTCTGTACTCTTCTTCCTCCTTCTCCTCCTCCTCCTCACTTTCTCACTCTGCTCATCCTGCCTGCGCCGATCAGGAGTTTGTTGCCACTGGCCAGAAGGACGCGACCGGCCACACGGTATACGGTGACATTGGGGAGTTCCTCAGGGATTCGCTCAACAAGCACCTGAAGGACGACGCCTGCGATGCCCCTTCGGGGGAGAGGGGAGGGGGAAGACGAAGGGGGGGAGAGGGTGAGGAGGGCCTCCTTGCTTTCCTCCTCCTTCCCGTTCAGTCGTTACTCTTTTCCCCCTTTTTCCTTCCAGTCCTCCCACCTCCTCTTTCCTCCTCTCCCCTCCTCCGCCCTCCTCCACGCCCCTGTTCCCCCCCTCCGTCTTAGCTTCCTTCCGTCTCCCCATCGCATCCCACCACCCCGCCCTCCTCGTCCTCATCCTCCTCCGCCATCCTCCTCCCTCCTCCCTCTTCGTCCATCCGTCCGCCATGTTTCATGAAGTTTGGGAACCGCGCTGCACTTACTAACCACATGTCTTTTGACTCACCCAAGTGCGCGTAGGTTTTTGGTGTTAGCAGAGCCGCCTGCCGATGGTGATGGTGAGTTTGCTTCACCTGTGGATGCCTTGAACCAGGCGGAGTCTGAACGGCGTAAGAGCCAGGTGAAAGCTTGGCAAGGCAGATGGCGTGTGCAGGTCCCAGACGCTAGGCAGCAAGGCGCTCCTCCGCCTGCTGTCCAGGACAGTTTGAAGCACGTTTCGGAGGAGGAGGCTAAGGAGGTGATTTTTCAGGCTGATTGCGCCTTGGATCCAGATGCAGTCTCCGTCGTGCTTGAGGCCTTCGCAGCCCCAGCGGAAGCCAGGCCCCTGTGAGCGCGACGCGTCTTTCTTCGCTTTTCCCTTGCAGGCGATTTCGTTGGTGCTGTGAGTGTCTCTGTGCTGCTACGTGGTCGGCGACCCGTCTACTTCGTATTGCATTTGTTCAGTGGTCGTCGGCGCTCTGGAGATCTCCAGTGGCAGCTTAAGCGGCAGATTTCGACGGTATTTGTGGACCTGTTTCCCTTGAGCATCGCTATTGATGAGGTGAGGGGGGACTTGACGAGAGAGGGGTCTATCCTGGAGTTGGCCGAACACATTGCTTCCAGGTTGCATGAGGGAGGTCCTCCCCCTTCTCGAGTCTTCGGTGTATACAGTGGGGAGATCCATGGGCGACGCCTCGGCACAGTGAGCAACTTCGGGCAGGCAGCATGCTCTTGTTTGCGCTGGCTCGTCTTATTGCTGAGCATCTTCAGAATTGGCACGGGGACTTGGATAGAGCACCCTGCCTCGGGTCTTTGGGCAGAGCCCCCACCTCCTTCCGTTGGCCTCCTATCCTCGCCCTCGCGGCGTCTCCGTGCAGCCGAACTTCGCTCTTTGACCAGTGCGAGCACCAGTGCCCAGAGGCTGGCCCCGAGTCTCAGAGGCGCACACCCACGTGAGCTGTGTCTGTCCGCTCGCCGTCCCTGTATTACAGCTTGAGGGCCACCCCGGAGGCTGGGAAGTGCTCGCACAGCAAGGGGGCCCATCACTGTTTTCTTGGCAACACGGCTCAGCGGCTCAGGGGACCTTCAGGACGGCGTCTGAGAGGTCTAATCTTGCTGGCACGTGTCACGCCCTCGCTGCCAGCACATGTGGCAGCATCACGAGCTTGCTGCCTGCCTCGGATGACCCAGACGTGTCTGTTGCGTGTGATGCTGTGGCGGGCCTGTCCAGCTTGCGTGTTTTCTATGCTCCTCTGTCTGAAGCCGGTACTGCCTATCATGACGTGGCTCCTGATGTTGTCAGAAAGTCTTTGCCTGGGAAGCGTCCTCGTGTCGACCCTGCGCGTGCTCGTGGCGATGATTCGGATAACGACTCTGGTGCGCAGCTCTCCGTCACGACTGCGGAGGGTCCACGGTTCCTTCTGGACATCGAGGCTTTCGAGGAACAGGTCATTGGTGAGCAGCTCCTCGAAGTGCCCAGCTGGGTTGTCTCTCCTCCCTCCCTTCCGCCCCCCCTCCCCGCATCCCGCCCGCCCCTCTCCCCCTCACCGACGCCCAGCGTGCGCGGACTGCCGCGGACAGGGAGGCAGCACGAGAGCGCCGAGCTGCCCGCCGTGCTGCAGGGGCGGTCGCCCTACGACAGGTCTTCCCCCTAACAGCCCTCGGGGAGAGAGGGTTGGCATGTTCGACGCAGACGACCGCCATGACTGGCGTTCTCTTTGTCGATGTTTTGCCATCCAGTGCTCTGTTCTTCTTGCTCTGTCTAGTTGACTAAGAGTTACTGTTCAGTTTCTGAACTCAGGGGCATCCCCCATGCAAGCGTTCGACGACCTCCTCCATCCTCCTTCCCTCTTCCTTCCCACCTCCTCCTTCCCTCCTCCCCATTCTACCTCCCTCTTCCTCCTTCCTCTCCCCTCCCTCCTTCTCCTCCTCCCTCCTCCTTCATCCTCCTCCCTCCCTCCTCCCCCTCCCTATCCCCCCTCCAGTCCACTCCCCCCCGCCCCCCACCTCCCCGCGCTGCGGCCGCGCCGCTCTTGTGGCTCCGAGGGGGGGGTCGGCTCCCCCCGCGGAGGGCGCGTCGCCCTGCCGGGATGCCCGCGGGATGGCGCCTCCCCGCCGCCGCCGCCGTCGTCGTCGCTATCGCCGCCGTCGTCGTCGTCGTCGTCGTCCTCGTCCCTTCCCCTTCCTCTGTCCTCTTCCGCCGAGAGGGGGAGGGGCGGTGAGGGGAGGTGTACGAGGTGGGACAAGGATGGAGGAACGCAGACGGAGGAGAAGCCGGACGACGTAGGAGGAGGGAAAATAATCGTCGGGAGGAGTTATTGAGGACAAGTGCGTTGGTATATGGGCGAGGGATGTGTTTTGAGAGTTGCCTGGGTCCCGAAAGCTTTCGGAAGGGACGTGGTGGTGTTTGGAAGCTCTGTTGATGCCAACCCGTCCTCTCCGTTTATTATTATTATTATTCGTATTATTATTATTATTATTATGATGATGATGATGATGATGATGATGATGATGATGATTATTATTAGTATTATTACTATTATTATTATTATTGTTATTGTCATTC